TTTTTTTTTTTTTTTTAATCTTTAGTCATTTCTTTTTTTTTTGCTTTTTTTTCTTACTATTATTTTCTATATGTATATATATATATTTATCTATATATATATATATATTATTAATTTTTCTTTTGTATCAATTTTTGTTCTTTTATATATAATAATATTATTTTACTTTAATCTTTTTTATTTCTTTTTTTTTCCTTATCAATTTCTTTTTTTTTTTTTGCATAGTCAAAATGGATGTGGACTTTATTTTCAATTTACTATTAAATAATGAGGTTGCGGTTATACAAGAGTGTGTTACATAATACGCAGAGAGAAATGTTTTTTTTTTCTTCCTCAAAATCTACAATGGCGAAAAAGAAAATATGTTTACCAAAGAATAAATCCGCGCGATTTTTTTTTTGTTTTAACTATTATCATTATTATTATTATTAATATTATTATTATAATTATTATCGTAAAATAGTGTAATCTAATATTATGTATATATATATATATATATTTTTTTTTTTGTTCTTCGTGAAATATTATAAAAAGCATAAAACATACATCACCATTCAAAATCTTATTTCACATTGTTTGTTTCATTTTATTTTGTTTGTTTGTTTCTTTCTTTCTTTTGTTCTTCATTTCAAATGATAAATGAACAATATGAACAAACATGTGCCATATATTTTTTGGTAAACATATGAAATTGTGCACAATAAGTGTAAGACAATTCGAAAAAAAAAGAAGAAAAATCTTTAGAAAGTCATAAAAAAGAAAAAAAAAAAAACTAAAATCATCCAATGTTCGTTCGCCGAAGTCTAAAAAAATTGATTGAATTCGAAAAAAAAAAAAAAGGACCTTCCTAATGAGAAATAACAAACACGTTTTTTTATACTCATTAAAATTCATCTAACAACTAAAAATTTAATTACAACAATGTAGCAATGTGCGACGTCGTCTGTTGAATACCGAATGATAATAATAACAATAATAATAATAATAATAATGATAATTAACAATAATAATAATAATAATAATAATAATAATAATAATAATAATAATAATAATAATAATAGTAATAATAATGATGATGATAGTAATAATAATAATTAATAATAATAATAATAATAATAATAATAATAATAATAATAATAATAATAATAATAATAATAATAAAAGAGAGAAGAAAAAATATGAAAAAAAAAAGAACCATATATTATTATACATACACAAGTAAATTTGTAAAGATATGAAAAAACGTAGCGGAGAAAAATTGTTCCCTGTCGAACCACACGATACACATCATCATCATCATCATCATCATCTTCTTCTAGTTACATATTAATAAGGCATAAGAACAGATGTTATATGAGAGAAACTGACATTAGAATAAAAACGATAGATATATTAAAACTATATATCTATATCTATATCTATATATATATACGAGTTGAGTTGTTGGACAACGAATCATATCTAATAAATATCGATGATTTATCAACAAAATTTAACTGTTAAATAATATTCTTGAGAGCCGTGCAGCAAGCAGATTTAAAACAAAAATATTTATACATAAACTCTCGACAAGAAATATTATCATGCCCTGTTTTATTGACCTGTAAATATGCGAACGACCAGAGCGTCACTTTAGACCGGAATGTCAAAAAAACCAATTGATTGATTGATTGATCATAATCATCATAATCATCTCTCTCTCTCTCTCTCTCTCTCTTTCTCTTATTCTCATCATTATCATCATCATCATCGTATGTGACAACTATGAAATAAACTTACAATCTACTTTTTTTTTTTTATACCGATTACTGTAAATAGTATAATATCCTAGATACTGAAAAAACCTACGGATTATGGTATGAGAACAGTACGAACCTAAACCTAACAAACTAAACTACGTTGTCGATCACTCGAAGAAAGCCGATATAAGAAGTGAACAGTTTAAATAGAGTTCGACTGTAAAAAAGGAACGATGAACTGACGCTGGTAGAATTTAGAACAAGATTTGTTACGTCAAAAGAAAGGCTGACCATTAGCCGTTCAATAAGAGCATTTCAACGTTGAACAGGTATACGACACAACAGTTGTTCTCTCTCTCTCTATCTCTCTCTCTCTTTTCCAACGACAAAAACTTCTCTTATCACCATTCACTGTCCTACGTTCTCTGCCAGATAACTACGATGAATTTCAAGTATTGTCATCGGGAACGGAACAATGCTGTTGACGACATAGCAAACCCCAGTCTCCTCTAGCTGCATCAATAAGTTATGGTCAAGCATCAAATTCTGCGAATATTAAATTCGTACTAGGGTTACCTTTAATCCACTCTCCAAGTCATTCTATCGTTAGTATAAGCGTACGTCGATTGTCCTCCCGTCAATTCTCGATCGATTCATCATCGCTGTTCATATATTATTTGAAGTAAAGGTAAATATATCAGTATTTTTTCCTAGATCAGAAATTGTTCAAAAAAGAAAAAAAAATAATAATAAATATTTTTCTTTTGTAACATTATTCTCTTTAGAAAGGATACACACTGCTCGCTCCGCGTCCCATTCTGATACAAATCGTACCATTCCCATATCCGTACCTCTCATTTCTGCAAACTTCACCTCGCCAACATCTTGGAATTTATCTCGCAACATCTGCCACGTAGTGTTTGGTGGTAACTGTAATCAATTTTTATTCATTTATCTTATTAATATTATTTTTGTTCAACCATCTAGTAAGTTCTAATAACACTTACGTTTCCTATGAGAATTGTATCTGACATTGGTCGAGATCCATTAGCATTTTGTCGATTACCTCCGCCACCTTGTCCTTGATTACCTGAGAAAGCACCACCTCCTCCAGAAATACGATCGCCGTCCCCTCTGTTGAAACCTCCATCAAAGTCTCTGCCACCACCGAATGATGCAGTTCCGAAAGCATTGTTACCACCGAATCCTATGTCGTTGTCCAATTTAGACATGCCTCTTGGCGCAAAAGAATTGTTTCCTTGTCCACCAGCTAAAGATGCTTGCAAACCTGACAAACCTCCAACTCCTCCACCAAAGTTGTTCAAATTAGATGCCAGATCATTCGTTAATGAAGAATTCAATAAAGAACTTGTAGTAAGATTTGCACCTAATCCACCGGCAAGACTTGCTTGAATGGCTGCAGCATTTGAATTGGACAAAGCAGATGCTAAAAATAAATAAACAATTGAACACAAACATAGGACATATATCAATTATAAATATAATTAATGTTAACATATTCATAATATACCTAATTGGGCAGGCACGACATTATTTAATCCAGCACCGAAAGCCCCAGCAGCCAAAACAGGAGCAGAAATTGGATTTACGACTGGTGGATTGTTGGCTTGTACACTAGGAATGTTTCGAGCTACATCCATCAACCTGTTTCCTCCAGCTCCCAATCCCATTCCAATGCCCTTTAAACCTAATTTACAAATATATATAGATAGATAGATAGATAGATAGATAGATAGATATAACAACATGGAATCTTTATTATATCTGTAAAAAGAAACATACCTTCTGGTAATTTTGGTGGCATATCTGGTTCATTAGCTCTGTCGAGTCTTACTGTCATTCGTCTATCATAAAGTTGTTGATTGTGTAACATTGAAATAGCCTGTACAGATTCTACAGGATGGTCATATTCTACAACTCCAAAACCGCGAGATTTTCCGTCCTTGTCTTTACCCAACTCAACGTGCAAAACTTTTCCAGCTAATTTAAATACTTCCAATAATTTCTTTTCATCAACTTTATAATCCAACTATAAAACAATAATAAAAATATATAATTAATGATTGTTACAGATAGTTTTGAGTAATAGTTGAATAAACTTACATTTGCTACAAAAACTCTGGTAACCAAAGGTCCATTGATGCCTAAAGATTCTAAAAATTGTGTACTTAGACCAAAAGTGTTTCCAAATTTGCTATCACCTCCACCACCGCCACCACCGCCGCCACCGCCACCGCCACCAACACCACCTCCTCCAACTCCACCACCTCCACTAGGTGCAGGCATGTTTTGTCTACCAACTCCTGGTTGCCGAGGGGGATCCCTAAACCTATCATCTCTTGGTCTATCATTATTACGTGCTGTTGCTAAACGACCATATTTATCACGCTCAACATCAAAGTCCTTAAATATTGTTACAATTATTATTATTAAATTAGTTTAATCGTACATTATATACCATCTTTAAATAATGTTACATAACAACTACTTGAATTACCTCTTTAACGACTAATTTTCTTCCTTTTGTATCAAAACGATGCATTTTCTCAACTGCAACCTTAACAGATTCTGCATCTTCAAATTCTACAATACCACAACCGCGAGGTTTATCATTTTCATCAGTAAAAAGTTCAACATGTGCAACCTTCCCAACATGTGTCCTAAACAAATCCTTCAAGTCCTGCCATCGAAAGTCATATGGTATATTGGACACATAAATCCTAGTGTCCGATGCTTTTCTACCAACACGGTCATTTCTTTCTCTACTCCTATCACGGCTGGTAGAATTCATACGGTTTTGTCTATCCGATCTTCTCATCCGATCTCGTTCTCTACTTCGATCTCTTTCATCAGTGTTTGGTATTTGTATTCTGTGTGGTATTACGAATAATATTAGGAAATGAAAAAAAAATAAAAAAAGAATTTAGATATAATACAATAACATTTAATTGTACAGCATGAATATTCTGCATGAAAAAAAAAAAAAAGATAAGAAAAAAATTCAACTNAAAATTCAACTTAATGGTAGTTGATATTTATAAATAAACAAATACGAATAATTATATTAATTATAAATAAAAGTAAATATATTGATAAATATAATTTAATATATTAAAAGGAATGAAAAAGCTAATATTAGCAATGCAATGGAATACAATATACATGCCGACAATAAAATATTCATGGTTAATCATAGATAATATTATGAATTATTATACTTACTCTTCTACTTTGATCATTTTGGAAATTATTTAGATGTAATAATCCACGAAGAAAATCCTAGATAATCTTCTTTAAATTCCGAGGTTACAAAACGAGTCTTCGACCGAAAATAGAAGCAAACATACGCGAATACCAAAGAAGAAGCGTCTTATAAAATGGCTGACAACGGAAGTAATAAAATTCCGGAAACAATGATTTCAAAAGTCCACATTTCTAAACGCGTATTATTTCGATAAATAATAATATTATAGATTAAACATGGGAAATACTTTTATCGTATTAATTAATATTATTAAGTATACGAGTAGATAAAAGTATTTTTCAAGTGATTTCCATTAATGTTATCAATGTTTTTTTTTTGTTGGATTTTATTTGAAAAGATTTAAAATGTATTTTTTAACTTCCGATAAAATTATCAATGAAGAATGAAATAGTTAAATTCCTCTCGTTTCGTTGACCAATTACCGATCGAATTTAAAGATATGAATTAAGGCGGGAAATGTTTAATTTATTGTAATTAATTCAAATTTACTTATCGTACAAATAATAATCATTTCCAAAAGTCTAATAGTATTAATTAGATATCAAAATAAAATTTATCAATGCTAATATTTCCTTATAGGTAAAAAGTTTAATTTTAATTGTTTAATTAAATAATAATGTTTCATAAAACGTAATTATAATTGGAACGTATTGGATGGTGGCGCCATCAATCGATTTAAACTAAACGTCGTCCGCTATCTTCCATTTCCGAATAGCAGAAGACAAATGGAATTTAACCGACCAATAGGAAAGTGACTTTCGTTCCTTCATGTTCCTTTTTTTTCTGACCGTTCTGACGTGCGCAACGTACATTTCGATATAAAGTATAGTGAAGGTTGAATTTTTTTTTCTACCAAAGTTAACGTACTAGAGATAATGGCAGCCCAGTGGATAAGAAAATCAGTAAGTTAGACACGTGCTTTAAAATTAACGTTTCATTACAAATTACATTAATCATTTAATCATATCGTATTTTCGAATAGAAAGGTTAGAATATCTCTCAAGCATTTGTGGCTAGAAAATCTTGGTCTCTACTTGTCTTTAACAAAGATTCTTCTAATTCTCTTCTGTATATTGCAAGAATTAATCGTTAAATTATGTATGAAATGTATGAACAAATATCAAAAACAAGATGTTATTGTTCCCTTTTATTAAATTCATTAAACGTCGGAATAAAATGGACTAAATGTCATCGCAGAAAATTGAATAGTTTTATGGATTTTCCCGAGGACAGATCTCAACAAAAATTGGCAACGTACGCCTCTACAGCAGCAGTGCACGTAAATGTACTCTAATACCAGGAGATGGAATTGGTCCTGAAATTTCCGCTGCCGTGCAGAAGATATTCGATGCTGCTAAGGTAAGACATTGACATTTTATTTTTGGTTCTTTTCTTTTTTCTTGTGCACTTTTCGGTTAATCGATTTTCACGAGTTTTCCAATTTCTTTTTTTTATTTTGTTCTTTTACTTATCTTTTGGAATATGAGATAACACCAAGACCTTCCATGTGTTTTTTTTTTATTTTTTTTTTTTTATATATTGCATTAGATTTTTTTGCAAGGTGACCTAATTTGTCCTTAGCACTAACCCCTTACAATGTTTATTTTAATCTTACTCTTATACAGGTTGATCCAATTATAGGCTTATTCAATGTGCTCTTACTATAGTTCAGGTATGTTTTTGACTTTTTCTTTTAAAAATAATATTCTATGTCAATGTTTAATTCTAAGGTTAAAAAAAGTTCAGAGTGTTATGTCATATCAGAAGGATCCATATTGAATCTATATATATATGCACCACATATATATATATACATATACATATATATTTATATGTATTTAGTACCCAATTTTTTCTCAATTAAATAATTTATGAAACAGAAATTTAGGTTTATAATTTTAAACGAAAAATATAAAAGTTAATTTTAAATTATAATTAATTTGTATAATAATGAATTTGACTGTAATAACAGGTACCAATAGAATGGGAGGCTGTAGACGTTACACCGGTAAAAGGCCCAGATGGAAAATTCGGTATTCCTCAAGCAGCTATCGATTCAGTTAACAAGAATAAAATTGGTTTAAAGGGACCTTTAATGACTCCGATTGGCAAAGGTCACAGATCTTTAAATCTTGCGCTAAGAAAGTGAGTTTCATTATCACTGTAATTAAACAATGCAGTTTAATTTTGTTCGTTATTGTTTGATGATATTATCTTATTCTTAGCAATGCTGCTTTTAATAATTCTTATGTTATGTAATTGTTAAGCATCTAAAGACAAATATAGATACCGACTTATTTGATATAGTTTATTTGATATTTGCACAGCGGTTTGTGTGTGTATTATTTGCACTCGTTCTGAATCATACTATTTAAGAAAAAAAACAAGCAAGTCAATTAATTTGTTTCTATTTTGTAGAGAATTCAATTTGTATGCAAATGTACGACCGTGTCTTTCATTGGAAGGATATAAAACGTTGTACGATAACGTAAACGTAGTTACGATCAGAGAAAATACGGAAGGTGAATATTCAGGTATAGAACACGAGATCGTAGAAGGTGTTGTACAAAGTATTAAATTAATTACGGAAGAAGCGTCAAGTAGGGTAGCTGAATTTGCTTTTCAATATGCTAAGGATAATAACAGGAAGAAGGTAAGATTATCTTTCATGACAATTAATACCTTTCACAATGATTTAACACATCAGAGTTGCATGCCGAAACCAATACAAATATTGTAGTAATTTAAGAAGTTAAAATCAGTTGATTTATTCAAAATTTTATTGTATTTTAGGTAACTGCAGTACATAAAGCCAATATTATGCGTATGTCGGACGGTTTATTCCTTAGATGTTGTCGGGATGCTGCACAGAAGTTCCCAGAGATTAAATTCGAAGAAAAGTACTTAGATACAGTGTGCTTAAATATGGTTCAAGATCCGAGTCAATACGATGTTCTTGTCATGCCTAACCTTTATGGTGATATCTTATCCGATATGTGTGCTGGACTCGTAGGTGGTCTTGGACTTACTCCTAGTGGAAATATCGGTCTTAATGGTGCTCTCTTCGAATCTGTATGTTCTATACATTCTTACTTATTTCTTTATTAATGTTACAATTTAAATTAGATTAAAAGAACTATTTGTGAATGCAGGTGCACGGAACGGCGCCTGATATTGCTGGTCAAGATAAAGCTAATCCAACGGCGTTGTTATTGTCAGCGGTGATGATGCTAAAATACATGGGATTAAACGAACATGCACGAATCATAGAACAATCGGCGTATGAAACCATCAAGGAAGCGAAATATTTAACCGGTGATCTTGGAGGAAGTGCTAAATGTAGTGAATATACTAACGAAATTTGTAAGAAAGTATCTGCACTAGTTAAATAAATTAGCTCATTAAAATAATAACGAAATACGAACTGCCAAATACTCGTAGAAAAAGAAATATTTTGGTGATCTTTTAAATGTGCGGTAACGTTATTTTGAATCGACACATTTTCACAAATGGATGTGTAGAATTCTATTTGTATAATTATTTGTGCTCAATATCAAATCTTATCAAAATACAATTTTAAATCGTATAAATATTTAACAGAAATGTAAGAAAGAATTGATTTTTATTAATTTAATAGTATAAAAAGGAAAATAAAAAAAAAAAAAATGATGTATACCGAAGATTTGCCCTAAGTTCGCTATGGCATTTATCTCATACATATATTCATAGATAAATTTAAAAAAATATGTATCTCGTTACATGCGACAATTCCAAGTAAACGCGTAACATGATGATCGTGTAGATTTTTTATTCGCACCAATTGTTACGTATCGTGTTTACTGGCAGACGAAGGATCCTAGTAGACTTTGTAAAGATTAGTTTGTACAAATTAATTAATATGTAGGATGCACTATGTATTATACTTTTAAAATGAAAAACCACTGTTATATGCGAAGCGTGTACTAAATAGAAAAAAAAAAGAAAAAAAATAACCAAGATCAAGTTTCGAAAATCGATATTGTGCAGTATTAACGACAAATAAAAGAAATGAAAAAAAAAAAAAAACATTAAAAAAACCAAAAAACCCATCTACGAACGGACAAATTTATTGTTCTTCCCTTTTATAATTAATTTATTTTATCTATTGTCTTATCAGTATAATGCATGGCCATATGTGTTAATCGTTTGCTTTTCATTTCATAGATAAAACTCGCTTATTTAAATAAAAATCAAAAAAGATATTGTACTAAAATTAATTAAAAAAAAAAAAAGAAAGAAAAACAAAGAAAGAAAGAAAGAAAGAAAGAAAGAAAGAAAGGGTGAAGTTGGATTTACAGAATGTTGGACGAGTGTAAAAATAAGAAAGAAAAAGTGCTTGAAAATATAAACATTCGCTAAATTTCACCCTACTTGATGTTACATTATATATATATATATATATATATATCACACTCATCGTCCCAACCACTTCATAACTTCCCTCTCTTGTTTTACACACCGTTCTTTTCTACAGTAGTGCGCAAGTATTATATACAGTAAAGCTACCTCTCAAGAAAACTCTCAAATATGAGAAAAGTTGTTAGCTATATTTCACGAGGCCGACGACTACTAGGGGGCTGTCCCGTTACGAAACGAGGAAAAGAAAAAGGAGGAAGGGATGGGAAAGGAGGATAAGATAGAAAGGAAGGAAAGAAGGAAAGAAAGAAGAAGAAGAAGAAGCCGAAGGATTCAGTGTCATCTTCGTTGCTCGTTAATCCTGTCCGTGATTTATCGAGATTCCACGAGTGAATAATGACGGACTTTGTAAATTTTTCGATATTAGAATTTCTCTTTGATCTATGAGGTATCTCTGTCCCTCTTATTTTTCTTCTTAACTGACAGGGAAGGTTTCTAGTTACGTTTTAACGTTAATCAATTTTAATAAAGAATAAGATGAATTTGGTTTCTTCTTTTTCTTCTTTTTTATAAAAAAAACATCTTTAAGAAATCATACATGTAATATAAAAACTGATACATCAGATTATCTCAAGCGTTATGAATAGTTTCTTGAATGATTGGGGGTGAGAATGATTAGATAGGAAAAAGATAAAGCTGCTGATTTCAGATATCTCGTACGATGGGCTGAAAACCCAAGAGTGTTTTGATACAAAAGGTGATGGGAATGTACATACACACTCGAGAGGAGTGCGAAAAGCGACATATGCATATTCAACGTTAGAGAGGAGAGAGGTGCCCGTTCGTAGTCGTTCTCTCTGGTCATAGGAATAATAAAAATTCGAGGGTTGAAATTATTTAGATTTATGCCCGTTCTCTTGTCACCTTCGTCATCGTCGTCGTCGTCGTCGTCGTCGTCGTCATCGTGCCGGGTTGGTGCAACGAGGAGCAAACGATTCGATTCTAGGGTACAAATTTCATGCATTATTCAAGACTTGCCGCAATGCACCCCTGGAGTCAATGGAAAACGATCCTTTGGTTTTAAAAGAGAAAAAAAGACCAAAAAAATTCTGCGTTAAAAACAAACAAACAAAAAAAATGTATATAGAGAGAGTAGGAAGTGGATTTTTTTTTTTTTTAATCTCNTATGAGAAACTATACTAGAACGATTATTATGTCAGCAATTTCAACAAAGGTTGTTGTTATTTGTCCGTCAAGAGAAGTAGACAGGTAAAAAACGTAAAAACGGACGATTTAATTAATTCAATACTTCAAAGTATTTCAAAGTAATTAAAAGAAAACAAAAAAAGGGGGAAATACAAAATATACTTTATGCAAAAAAAAGAAAAATAATTGTTTTTTTTTTATCGTTGATACTGTGAAAGATAAAATTTTATGGAAATGTTTTGGATTTTTTTTTTACTTGGTAAAGAAGGAAAAAATGACAAGTTTCGATTTCATGGAATTTCCGATTTCATCGATAAAATTTTCTTGACTTTCCTCTAACCAATTGTATTAATAATTCAAGTTACCTGTGTTCGTAAATTTTAACGGTATAAGGTATCATATATTTTTATTTTTTATTTTTTTACAAATATGCATTATTAGTAATAAAAAAATGTAAATTTGTTGAACTTAATAATCACTTTTGAAAAAAAAAAAAAAATAATCCATTAGGATTTTGTATATTAATGAGACTGTGTAGTTTGTATTTTAATAGCACTGTTTAAAAATAAAAAAATAATTTATCCAATTAAAATCTGATAAATGTGATTTAATATAAATATTTATGAAATAAAAATAAAATTGCAAAAAAAAAAAGAAAAAGTATAAAACACACGTTACAGCATATTTCAGTTTTTTTTTTATTTTTTATTTTTTATTTTTTTTGTAAATAAATTCATCAGAAATGTGTCGATAATAATTTCTTGAAAAAAAAAAAAAAAAAAAAAAAAAAAAAACAAATTGTTAGATTTTTGAAAAATTTCAAAAGGATTGCGGTAAGATGAATTTGCCAGTGTTTTTTTTTTTTTTACGATTATTATCAAGTAAATCGATTGATCGCGATAAATTGATTGGTTCAATGGATAGTAATCAAAATAATTATCGACATATTTCCGGTTCGTGATCTTTCATGATCGTTAAATTTTACATGGGATAACCGATTACTTCATCGATCGTTTCCTTTTTCTTTTTGATTTTTATATTTTTTTTTTTCCATTCAATCTAAATACCTTTTTAATCGATAGTTTCCAGAACTTAAATAATATTTCATATTTATATTTTATTATTTACTATAAAACATATATAATAAATAAATATTAATTTTTAATTTTTAATATTTATTAAATATTAATATTTATTGTAAAATTTATTAATTAATTTATTTATTTTTAATTTAACAATAAATATTAATATTTTATTTATATAATATTTTATATTATATTTTATTATTTATTATAAAACATTAATAAATATTTATATTTATTTAATAATTAAAATATTAATATTTATTTTAATTATATCGTAATAATATTTGATTTAATATTTATTTAATAATTAAAATATTAATATTTAATTTAGTTACATTTTAATAATATTTAATGTAATATTTATTTAATAATTAAAATATTAATATATTTATTAATTAGTTAATTTAGTTACATTGTAATAATATTCAATTTAGTATTTATTTAATAATTTAAATATTAATACATTTATTAATATTTTAAGTTCAACCAAAGAGATTAATTTGGTAAATTAATATTTTAAGTTTAACCAAAGAGATTAATTTGTTAAATTAATATTTTAAGTTTAACCAAAGAGATTAATTTGTCAAATTAATATTTTAAGTTTAACCAAAGAGATTAATTTGTCAAATTAATATTTTAAGTTTAACCAAAGATTACTTTGTCAAATTATTATTTTCAGTTTAACTAAAGTATAATTAGTCATAATTAATATTTTATTTATGTATTCTAATTGTATTGAATTAGTTTTTTTTTAATTGAACTTTTACATGCATATGTACAATAATTTCGTTGAATATTTTATTACAAACAAACAAAAAATTTTTAAAAATAATAATGAATAAACATATAGAGAATTGTTTGATTATTTTCTAACAAGCCTATACTATCACCATACTACCATCACACTACCACCATACTACTACCATACCCTATCGTCCAACCATTGCACGAAGATGCAGTAGCAACAGGTTTTAAACTGGTTTTTCTTCCTAACTTCTTTCAACATTTACCTTTCGATAAAACTATTCTGATTTTAACAGTTGTCCAAGCAAGATTATTGAATTATTATTTTTTTATTATTTAATAAAAACCCTCTTAAAAAAATAAAAAATAAAAATATATATTGACATCAGTAGATTCTTAGAATTTGAAGTTCTTTTTTTTTTATGACAAAGTTATGACATTATTTACATAAAATGTAAATTCCAAAACTATATTCAAATTACAAGAATAAAATATATCAAATTTTTATGGGAATGAATTTTAATATATATTTTTTTCTTTTTTTTTTTTAATTACATTTTATGTTAGTTTTAACGAACTAAGATATTTAATATAAAATTACTGTAATAAAAACCTAGGTGTATGCTAATACAACGTTTGTGTCCAAATTTTAAGACAATTGGTAAAGTATTTTTAAAAATTATCGAATAGGCACAAAGGAAATCTACATTTTTATATACAGTAAGAAACATAACTGAAGCCAATAACCACTAGTTTTGTATAAATCATTATTTATTGCTAAGAATGTAAAAGAATATTAAAGAATGAACATTAGAGTCCATCCATTTTTTGTTGTTAGTGCTAAACGAAGAGACATTATTTGTTGAAACAATTTCTGATGTTACTTCTAACTGTAATATAATGTTATATTAAAGAAAATAATTAAAAACCATTAAATTAATTTCTTATAATTTCTTCATTTACTCTAACTTAATGAATTTACTTAAAATAATAAATATTTATATTTTATTATTAAATAGAAATCATGAATTCTAATTAGTTAATATTATTTTCTATTATATTTAATATATCTATCCCTATATCTATATACAGTAAGGAACATAACTAAATCAATAAAATCACTAGTTTTGTATAAATCATTATTTAGTGCTAAGAATGTAAAAGAATATTAAAAAATGAACATTATAGTCCATCCATTTTTGGTTGCTAGTGCTAAACTAGGAGACATTATTTGTTGAAACAATTTCTGATGGTACTTTTAACTGTAATAAAACTTACTATAACATTCATTTTTTAATATTCTCTTCTACATTCTTAGCAATAAATAATGATTTATACAAAACTAGTGATTTTTATTGGTTCAGTTATGCTCCTTCTTACTGTATATAGATATAGATAGATATATTTAAATATAATAGAAAATAATATTAACTAATTAGAATTCATGATTTCTATTTAACAATAAAATATAAATGTTTGTTATTCTAAGTAAATTAATTAAGTAAGTAAATGAAGAAATTGTAGGAAATTAATTTAATGGTTTTTGATTATTTTCTTTAGTATAACACTATATGCAGAAAAGAGGAGTGACCTGAGAGAAACGTGCAGTCAACTCTTGTACCATGTTCTAATATTACACAGTAAAATACACTATGTGTGAGTCAGGGGCATAACCGGCTACGTACCTAAGCTAAGATAAGAAACGTACCAGCAAACACACCAGAAAGAAAAAAAGAAATAAATAAATAAAGAATGAAAGAAAAAAAGAAAGAAAGAAAGAAAGATAGAGAAAAACAAAGAATAAATAATACAACCAACCTCTTCATCCTTTTCTTTTTTAAACCCAGTTTAACGTTTCATCTCTTCCCCCTTTCCCCATTCACCCCCATCCCTTTATTTTATTTTACTTTACTTTACTTTACTTTTATTTTGAATTTTGTTGTATTTTGTTCTGTTCTTTTTGTTTTTTTTTTGGAATCGTCCATATTTTATAAGACTCGTCGCGTCGACGGAAAATATTATTGGCTTTGCTGACGTCTATYTATKGTGGATGGTGGATAAGGGTGTATAGGGGTATAAGGGGGAACATTAGTTATAATCGTCTTAACTTGGAATTAATTATCATCTCGCGTTAATAATTAAATTCGTAATCAAGTCACATTATAAAATGTGTTGGTTTTTAATATATAAATGTATTTTTTATTACTTTTATCTTATCTGKCATTTRTTATCTTTATTATCTAATTAGGTTTTTGTATTATACYTAAGAAAAGATCTATTAGGTCATTAAATATRAAAATGTCTGATTTTGATGGGAAAATAATAYGAGTAATCAGACATTTCATAGTTAATAACCTAATAATTCGATAAACTATATTTTGTTAAGTAGAAAATAATTGTAATGTGTAATCAAATTTGTTTTATTTAACAACAAGAATATCAGTGTGATCGAATTTTTCTTATTGTACAATTTGTATAATAATAATAATATTAATAATAATAATAATAGAATTATTAGGTCKAGTCATAAGTAACTTCCGATGCGGTTATGTAGAATCTATTTTTCGTATTTACCTACTATAAGTCACCGAAACAAACGGATTTTTGATATCACTGTATAGATAAGGATTCAGTTAATCTTCTGTTAACTTTTTTATACAGTCAATGTTACATTTAACCGTTTTTCTCAACCACTGAAATGGATAGTAAAAAGTGCATATTCGACATGTAATGCTTTAGGAATTGAAACAAGGCAATGGTATTAAGGTGGCAACTGAAAAAATATGCAGCGTATACAGTGCATGACTGATAACTGATAGGGCAGTCAGAAATTGGTTTGTAAAATTCCGTTTTGGAGATACGATCTTAAAAGATGAACCAAGTATAGGACGTATTTCCGACTTTGACGAACCTTTTAACACTAGATATACCAGATCAGTCATTTTGACTGGTCGGGACATTTTAATTCAAAATTTCTACTTCATGTAACATTTGATTTCTGTAAATAATTAAGCGTTTTGTTATTTAAAAATGTCTATAAATCCATTTATTTATTACAATTATTATTGTTAAAGATTTTTTGTTATTTTTTAAGAGTAAATAAAGACTGGAAGTCTCAAAAAGCATTTTTTTTTATACACCAGTCATTTTGACTAAGGTGGTAGAAATAGGTATACTGAAAATGGTGGTATATCTAGTGTTAAAGGTAATATTAGAGCAAAATCCAATAGATACGTTGAACAATTGCAAAGAGTGCAAAAAAAATTCCATGGAAGATGTCTTGCACTTATCAGTAGCAGAAACGCCATTCTTTGTCTCATAAAAACTGGAAGTTATTTATGACTCGACCTAATATTTAAAAATGAGTAACTTACAACATTTTGAAATCTAGGGGAAAAAAAAACAATTGTTAATTATTTTATTTATTTAAGAATTTGTAATTATCTAATTTATTATATGCTTTTATGTTTTATAACAATTTTGTTTATATTTTTATTCGTGAAAAATTATTAAAAAAGAAAAGAAAAATACTAATTAGTATATAGGATTTATTCTAATGCATCATCAAAATTTAGTTTTTTTCCCCCACTAATTTCATAAGAATAAAAATTAAATAAATAAGGTAAAAAAAGTTTAAATAAATAAATTAGCTGATACGAAATAAAAATGACACCATTTTACAATCTTATAATGAGGATAAAAATTCAATAAAAAAAAAGAAATAAGAAAAAAAAGTTGAAATAAATAAAATAACCTTATATACGAAATAAAAATGACACCATTTTACAATCGTATAATTAAAGATAAGTTAAGATATATATATATGAGATTATTATAAATGTTGACGATCAATAAAATATGATATCCCCACATACGATTTGCATTTAATGTGTGTCATCGTAAAAATTCTTTCAATTCTAATGAGATTGTATTACATCGAAGGGAAGAAAAAAAAAGAAAGAAAGTAAATGAATCTATTAATGACACACAATCCTTTTGTGTTTAATAAATATAAGAAAATAAATATAATGAAGTTGCTTTTCAACGATTTACTTCATCAGTAATGAATATATATATATATATATATATATATATACGTATTATATTATTTATATGAATTTTATATTTTATTTTTGTTCATTGTTTTAATATCTTCTTATGCAACGAGATTAAATGAATTCTCATATACAATGATGAATCAAAAAGAAGTATTCTTATAAACTATATTAATGTAAAATGTTCAATTATTTATAATTATTAAAATATATATATATATTGTTTTTTTTTGTTTAAAAAAATTTTAAAACTTTGTATAATATTATAAATCAAATATTTAGTTGTGAATTGACAATGGTGGTCATACAAATACTTCTATGATTCATACAATAATTTAATTGGGTCAAATTGACAACGTTAGTCATACAAATACTTCTATGATTCATAAAATGATTTTGTATATTATATTTGGTGTCAATAAATATAAATATTTAATAAGAATGATTGAAATTTACATAATTATGATGTATGAAAAATAAAATAGAATAATATTTGATTATTAATAAAAATAACTACGTGTATCAATCAAAGAATGATTAAAACATTTATATGAAAATAAAATAGAATGTTAGATGATTAATAAAAAAGAAATTGAAGAATGATTAAAAATTTGTATGAAAATGAAATAGAATGTTGAATGATTAATAAAAATGACTACGTGTATCAATTGAATAATGATTAAAACATTTATATGAAAATGAAATAGAATATTAGATGATTAATAAAAGAAATATTATTTAAATAAATACAGTATAAGTATGATCAAAACTTGTATATGAAATTGAAATAGAATAGAATATTGTCTATTAATAGAATGAAAGAAAGAAAGAAAGAAAAATAGAAAAGTAATAATCTAAATCTCAGATAGGATTTATTACGACAATTTACACGTTCATCATAATCTATCATATTTCTATCGATACATATAGATACATCAGAAATACTACTATCATAATATGTACAGTGCATCATATCACATACAATTGAATTCGGAAAAAGAGGAGACCCCTTTTTTAGGGGCCTCATGGAGGTAGCTAAAAAAAAAAAAAATCCTCCTTGTTATTTATATGTAACTAGGGATTGATTTGTTTTTCAAATATCGCGATTAATCGATACTTTTGTTCATTTAAGTTTAAATTTAAAGGAAAATATATATATATATATATATATATATATATATATATATATACTATAATAAGTATTTCAATATACGAGAGAGAGAGAGAGAGAGCGAGAGAAACATGGTTTGCAATTATTTGTGGGTGAAGAAATGAACGAAAAAGATCATTCAGAAGATCATAGAATATTTCAAGATATTATTTATAATTATTGAACGATTAAATAGATAACGCGATTTATTAATTCAATCCTCGTTTTTTTTTGTTTCAGGTGCTGGGCAAAGAGGGGGATGAAAAATTGTCAAGATTATAATTCTTGGGTTTGTTTTTTACTTTTTCTTATTTTTTGGTTTTTTTTTTTCTTTCTTTCACGATAATCGCGAGACTAAATTCGGATTTTCTTTTTCTTTTTTTTTATTAATATTTATCTGAGATGATTCATCGATGCTAAGTCTTATATTATATTATACAATTGGAATTTGATTATACGGAAATTTAACAAACTTTGAAGTAAATAAAAAAATACAAAAATTGTAAAAAATTATGATGCCCAATTTTATGGCTTGTAAATAAAAAAAAAAAAAAATATCACACGAGTAATATTAATTAACAAATATATTATTAAATATTAAATAAAATAAAAATCATTTTTGTAATGAAAATATTTTTGCAATATTTTAACGAGAAACTTTCTGCTTTTTTTTGTGTTCCTTTTTTTTTTATTAATTAAATAAGATTTAATTAATTTGTAATAATTAAAAAATTTGATAAATGTTCCGTATAATAATTGAGTCCAATTATTAATTATTAAAAGAATCGAATCTAATTTTTGTAATATCACCTTTGGCACTTTCACAAATTATTCCGAGTTAACTCGTGCGGCTTGTTCATTCGAAGGGTCTCCTTTTGGTTCCTTTACGTAGTCAACCACCAATTCTAGACCAATTACAGCACGTAAATCCTTCCTCTCGTCTTCTTTACTCCCAGATGAATTGCTTGCGTCTTCCTGTTTCGAGGAATCCTCACCTGTGTTCGGAAAAACAATTGGAGGAATATTTCAATTTTAGTTTGATTAATAATTAAAATAATTCACAAAATGAGTATATAAATAAGTAAATAAATAAATAAATATAATAAAATAATAATTTTATTTTTAATAAATATAAAAATAATTATTATTTCTAATGGGGGAGGCGTTAACGCGTTTTATTGATTGAATTTTGTGTTTTAAAAAGGATTTTATATTAAATTAATTAAAAAAAAGAAATGCAAAAAGGTTTCGATTAATTTATTAACGAAAATTAAATTAATTATAATTAATAAATATTTTTTTATATTTATAATTATATTTAAATGCAGATATATATAATTATAATTAAAAAATAATATAAATAAGTTTAAAATTTGTTATTTTATAAAAAGTAAATTATTAATTAAAAGAAGAATTAAAAACTACTCTACAAACTTCCAAATTACGTGTTTTAAAGGGTTTCCATTTTATAATATAAAAAAACAACAACAACAACAAAAAGTTTAACCTTGCATATGTTATTTGATAAAAAATAAAATTATTATTTGAACAAAATAATTAAAAACTTACTTTCCGACAATCCTTGTTTGATTTCATCATTTTCATTGATAGACGTTTCTTGTTTAGAAATTTTGTTCTTTTGTATATCCTTGTAAGTCCTACTGAGATGTTTCAAAATATAATTGGTGCCATGTATATTTTCATCAATGGTTCTAGACGTGCTAGCTTCGTCCCTGGTTAGATTCAATGGACGATTACCACCGTATTCCTTTGATTGTGGTACGCTAAAAGCTGAACAGTGCTTGCTTTTGAATGGTAACTGTCTCTCATTCAATTTACGATCCCATATATGTCCTGATACACGTAGGTCGATGAAAAAACGTAAAGGATCTATTCCAGGATAGGATTGTGGCATTGGATATGGCGGATACCATAATGGACTTGGAAGAAATTCCGAATTTGATACGTTGTTAGGTAAACCAAATCCTTTAACACCTTGAAATACTTCGCAGCCACCTCTTCCAGGTAATCCTGGAAGAAAGTTCATCGAAAAATCGAGTTTCTTCTGATCTGCCAATAATGACAATTCGGGAACGTTAACTTGATTCTTCGAACGTTCTTCATAACCATTTCTATCTACGTAATTACAATTTTTACGATCAACGTGTTGTTGCTGTTGTTGTTGTTGTTGTTGTTGTTGTTGCTGTTGTTCTTCCGGTTTAACTTTTTGCAATTCAGTAGTTGGAAAAATGGTTTCCGGTGAATGGGATTGTTCAAAATGACACGGCCGTTCATCGAAAAAATTCTTACTTTGTTTAACGAATTCAGATTTATTATTATCATCGATTGATTTCAACATATCCCCACCAAAATTATTAACTTTTTGTTCGAAAACGTTGATCTTGTTATCGGTGGTGTCATAAGTGTCATTTTGTTTATTATTCCTGTTAGAATCCAAACGTGAATCTAATTGTTGCTGTGACGATAATTGTTGAGGTGTTTGTCCATGATAATATTTGTCTTGTTGAGGAGACGATTGATGATGATGATTGTTATTGTTGTTATTATTGTTGTTATGATGATGATGATGATGATGATGGTGATGATGATTTCTCTCCTTCGTCGTAAGTTCGAGTGGCCTGTCACGTACGTCACGCCATGATCTTTTACGACGTCTAGGTGTGTTACCATTGTTTGCCGTAGATGATGCTGACGATGATGACGTTGCTTCTGCTTTAGCTTGAACGAACGATCTTAACATTTCACTGAAGAAAAAACTATGTGGTGTCAAGGGTACGTTGTACAAGTATGGTGGTGTTGCTGCCAATAATCGTGAAACTAAATCACCACCTGACAATGATGCAGGTGTCTTCAATGTCGATGGATCACCCGTTGTTGTCGTCATCTTTGATATCCTTTAGATGATCGATTGTTTTCTATTGAAATAGAAAAAATATGGTTGTTATTTTGATCATAGATTTTTTAATATTGTTTTGTATCGAGTAGTGTTAATATGGATACTTTTTTAATTTTTCATTTTATTTTTGTAATTCGAGTTTTAATGATATTTTTATTTCAAGGAGTAGAAATAATATTATAAATAATATATGATTTATATTTGTTATTTTTGAGGTTAGTATACATTTGAAATTTATATTTTAACATACCAATGAACTTTTGAGTTCATATAATGCCCATTAATAATTAATAATAATTTATTATTTCTATCGATACTTTTCTAATTTTTTATTTTATTTTATTATTCGAATTTTAATTATATTTTTATCTCAAGGTATATATAAATAATAAATAATATATAATTTATATTTGTAATTTTGGTAATATATTTTTAATATTCTTTTGTATAGAGTAGTATCAAAATGAATACTTTTCTAATTTTTAATTTAATATTATTATACGAGTTTTAATTATATTTTTATCGTAAGGAATATAAATAATAAATAATAAATAATAAATAATATGCGATTTATATTTGTTATTTTTGAGGTTAGTTAATTTATAATATTATTATATTAAATTAATATTTAGGATATAATTAAAAATAAATAAAATTAAATTCGTAACATTTTGACATACAACAAACATAATTGTACCCCCCAACAAAAAGAAAAGTATACTTAAATTAAATAAATATTTATTAAAAATATTAAATAATCAAATTAATTAATTAAGAAAATAACAATCAAACTTTTCTTATCAAATCCAAAAGAAAATTGTCACGGTATTGTTAAGAATCTGTGAAAGAAAAAAAGAAGAAGAAGATGATGAAGATGATGAAAATGATGACAATGATGACAATGATGAAAATGAAAATGTTGATGATAAGATTGGTATTGTTCTAGGTTTGTGAGTAGTTGTAAATCGACGAAGTGGAACCGAGCTACTATTGTCTTCTGAAATTAATCGAATAGAGCTAGCTAGCTAGTGCTGTTAAGACCAAGAAGACTAAGGAGGAAGTAATGCCTATATGAAGTTAGGCAAAAGCCTTACGACGGTTCTAGCATAGAAATCATCCATTAGGGATTACTAATTTCTGTCAAGCGCACGGGTTCTGTTTCGGTCGGATGCCTTCTCACTTCAGAAATTCTCAGAAAACTTCCTCCTCCATGGAAGAGGAATCGTCTGATGAGAGAAACTCTCCCTCACACCACTCATAAATGAGAGGATCATATTCTCTTAACGATGTTCAAACGGAGATCTGTTTTATTTGTTGTTTCGATTATTTCACACACACACATATCCTAAGAAATTCTGACAATTCAATTTTACAACAAAACTTGAACTCATTTTGTTCAATTCTTTTTTATGGAATTCATTTTTGTTTTGTTTTGTTTTGTTTTTTCTGAATTGAACCAAACTTTGAGCAAATTCTTCAATTTCTAACCTCAAAATATTACAAAAGATGATAGAGGTTGGGGATAGGGATAAATACAGGGGAGTAACTAATTTTATTAAATTACTTCACATGGTTTCTCTTGGCTTGGAACAAAATTATCGAACCCATGATTTAAGTGAGCATGATTTTAACGTTGGGTCTCGTGTAAACGTGTGTTGTAAAAGCTATTGCAAGTACCGTTACAAAAGATGGTAACCGATTTTATTCAATTACCGCGTGCGGTTACTACTGACACAATTGAGTTTACAAAATTATCAAACCCTTGATCTCACCGAATATATGTAAACATATAAGTGTGTGTAGAATGTGTAGTATAAAATAATCGATTATTAATAAAATACCATAAGTTAGTGTCACGTGAAATTATTAGTTAGGAAGAATACATTTGGAAATGTATGTTAAGGGTTTGTTTTAGTAATTGAAGATTTTTAAGTAGGTGAAAGATGAATCAAAAATGTGATAGTTAACAAAACAAAACATGCATCAGAAAATAATCAGTGATTAAATGAATACAAAAATATGCATTTAAAAGCAATTACTGATTAAACAAATAAACCTTAAACTCGGGGTCACATAAAATTGTTAAGGTTAGGAAGAATTTTAGAAATGTAAGGGTGTGTTTAATCTTGAATTAGTAATAGAACATTTTTAAGTAAACCAAAGATTCATTATAACAACATGACAAATAAAAAATATGCACCCCCAAAATAACCAATGAACAAACAAACAAAACAACTCAACAACTAGGGTACCACGTAACAAAATGAGTTGTCATACTTTTTAAGACGAATAAATTTGTAAATATAGGTCATTAAATCTTGAATTACTAGTAGAAAATTTTCAAAAAATAAATACAAAAAATATCCCCAAAATAAGCAATGAACAAACCAACAACTCGAGTATCACATAAAAAAAAACCCATGAATCGTCATACTTTTTTTTAGGATGAATAAATTTGTGCAAATGTACGTCGTTAAATCTTAACATATATTTTGAGGTTAGGATGGGAAGTAAAAAAAAAGAAGAAGAAGAAGGTTTTTTATATTTTAAGTCGATGATGAAAGATTCTTTTACGATTGAAGAAAGAGAGGAGACAAGAGAAAGTAACAACGAATCATGTTGAAGAGTAAAACACAGAGAGAGAGAGAGAGAGAGAGAGAGAGAGAAAGGTAGAGGTCCGTATCCGTGTGTCCGCAACCGACGTTGCCGCATACCATGAGAGAGAGAGAGAAAGAGAAAGAGAGAAAGAGAGAGAGAGAGAGAGGGGAGAGGGTGAAAAGGATCGGGTATTGTTTCGGTCCATTGTTTCCTAAACAAACGACGTCCACGTTGTTTCGTCAGGAGATATTATGTTCAGCCAGACAGGCAGGCAGGCAGGCAAGCAGGACGAACGGGAAATGGACTGCTGTCAGTTTTACTCTTCGTGATAAATACGAGCCCCCAGTACCACCATGTTTCTATGTATCCGTTCGTCCATCCTTCCTTCCGTTCGCCCACTACACACACACACATATACTTCTAAACATAATTCTGTTCATCTTTATCGTTTCACGAAACACATTCGACTATAACAAAACGAGATATATGACACATCTTTTCTTATTATTATCTTTCTTCTTTCTTGTTCTATTAGGTGGACTGTAAAGTAATGTCGGTTTCTAACCTCAAATTCAAACGAATAAATTTTGTTCTAACAAGTTTGTATTTTTAATTAATAATGTAATCATCATTTCTTGTTATCAACGACCTTTTTTCATTTAGTATGCAATATTTTTAATATCAAATTGATCAAAATCAATCGGTTTTTGATAAAAATATCAAAAATTGGATATTTGTAGAAACGATATTAGTTTCTGGTGCCCCTAATACTTCGTTCTATTTGATCAATTGGATGATTCCAATTGTCTACTGTTTTTTTCGTTTTTCTGATGTTTTTATTATCGTTGTTTTAATTTATTTGGTTTACTTTATGTTTTTGGAAGAATTCAATGGTGGAAAGATTGGATCGTAGAGGGGGAGGTGAATTTGTAGATTTAAGCTTTGTAGAAAAGAAGATTTAGTATTAATTAAGATTGGTGTTATAAATATTGCAATTTGGAATTTTTATGAATTTTATTATTATTATTTTATTATTATTATTATAATATTTATTATTATTTATTAATTTTAGAAAACAAGAATTAATATAAATTAAGAATGATATTTAAAATATTGCAATTTAGGATTTTTATGAATTTTATTATTATTTTTTTATTATTATAGATATTTTATTATTATTATTATATTTATTATTATTTAATTATTTTAGAAAAAAAAAGATTTAGTACAAATTAAAATTGATATTAAAAATATTGCAATTTGGGATTTTTATGAGTTATCTTTTTTCTTTTTTTACTTTCTTTTTTTTTACAAGGATTCAATGGTAAAAAATGGAATTGGAGAGAAGAAGATTTATCGAAATTAAATTTATAGAATTGTTTCGTGTAGAAAACAAAAATTATTATAAATTTAGATTGATATTAACAATATTACAATTTGGGATTCTTATAATTTTGAAAGATTTTTTTTTTTGTTGCAAGAACCTTCTATCCAATAGTAGTAGTATTTGTTAATTGTCTGTAAAATATTCTGAAAAATGACAATAATTAAAAATCGCGATATGAACATTGCACAGCCATATTGTATGAATAAAATAAATAAAAATAGAAGAACAAACTTAAAAATAAAAAAAAAATAAAAAAATACCAATCCAACGAATAACTGTATTCCATGGATCAAAGTTAATTTCCGTAGTGAATTTAGCGCGACGTCATCCGACGTAAAAGCTTTCGCGAATGGCTGAGCTTCCTCCTCCTTTCGACGGATTCCTTGAAGAAGAGATCTTTATTGTTTCCTTTCTGTTATTCTCTTTCCCTCTCTCTTCTTCTCTTTCTCGAAGGATCTTAATAGCTCCTTTCATCTTTCCACAGTCGATCTTTACCAGCTCTACCAACCAAAAGCTATAGCAAAGTAAAAAAACAAAAAGAAAAAAAATCCCTAACAAAACAATTCAAAAAAGAACCAACAACAAAACACAAAAAACAGTAAAGAAAAAGAAGAAAACCATCCACCAACGAACCAACCAACCCTTCCCCTCATCCTCATCCCTCTTCCTACCCTTCCTCAATCTACCCCCACCCTTGCACACTTTTCTTAGGATAGAACTTGACGGTAGCAACGTTACATTATTATTCTGCTCGAGGCGAAATGCTTCGAAGTATCCTCGAAGACGTCTCCTGCTTGCCGTTTCGGTTTCACGCTTTCGTAAAAGGGCTCCAAGGTAGAAATAGTTGTGGTAGTTGATAGTAGTAGTAGTGGTATGTTCGCTTGAAATACCACCACAGATAGAAAGAGAGTTAGAGAGAGAGAGAGAGAGAGAGAGGGATGATGGGTAGGGGGGTTTACGATTCATAAGACAACTCGGTGGATTGAATTAAGCGAGAGCAGGGAGGCACACAGCTGCCAATCCAAGCCCGACTAGGTCCTCCACCCACCTACACCCCTCATCACCTCCCATCCACAACCATCACGAATCTGCATAATCCCGTTCACGTCGACGATTCTAATTGGCGGATTGTTTCAATCTCTCTGTACCCGCGAATATTTGCATTCCTACGTCTACGCTTCGCCAAACTACCCCAACCCCGATCTTTTTTTTTTTTTTATTTTCTTTTCCCCCCTTCGTTTCAACCTTTTTCTTGTCTTTTCTTTTCTTTTCTTTAGCACACTTTGGTCAATCGAATTTTTTAATGACAAGATTATTGTTATAAAGTATCGCTTTTTTTTATCTTTCTTTGTATTTTAATTTGGTGTTAAATGGTAAATTAGTTTGACTTAAGTAGTCAATGGTATTCTTTCAATACGGTCAGACACGTACCACCTTTTTTGATACGAGTTACATGAATTCGTATTATATATTATAATTAAATAAAATTCTGTAGTAATAAAAAAGGGGTAGTAGTTAAAAAGGTAATTAGTCTGACCAGCAGTCACTAGTTTTAAGTAGTCAATGGTTTAACCTTTTAAGTAGTCAATGGTACCTATTCTTTTAATATGGTCAGACACGTACCACCTATTTTGACACGAGTTACATGAATTCGTATTATATATTATAATTACATAAAATTTAGTAGGAATAAAAAAAAGGGGTAGTAGTTAAAAAGGTAATTAGTCAGACCAGACTTTTAAGTAGTCAATGATTCTTTTGGAATGGTCAGACGCAGTCAAACACACACACACACACACACACGTTCTCTTTGATAAGAGTCACGTTAAATTCGTGTTATATTAAATTTAAGAAGAAAAATAATCTATGAAAATATTTGATGTATAATAATTCACTATCATTTTATATTCCAACCCCTCTTTATAAACCACCCTCTTTCCCTCATCCGTGAGAATTTTGTTTGTTTATTTAATGTTCTTTTATTATTCTCCCATTTCTTTGTGAGGGGGAGTTTATTCTTGGTTAAAATAAAATATTTAAAAAATGACGTATATTTTATATCTACCACCGTCGGCATAAACATTTTTATTACAAGGGATTTCTTGTATTTCGTCAAAAAAAAAAAAAGAAAAAAAACAACCTTCTCCCTTTACATAATGGAAAGAAAGAAACAAACGTCGTCGTGTGACTTTGCAGCTACGAATTTTATCTTCCTCTCATTCTCTGTTTATCTTGTTTCTTTCTTTCTATTTTATTTTTTATTTATTTTTTAGGTAACTCGAACGTTTCTCGTAGCAACACTAGCATGACCAGTTTTGGTTTAAAAAAATAAAAAATATAAGAAAAAATGTATGCCACTGTCAAAGAACGCATCCACAACAGGGGGGTTGTTTCTCAAAGACAATGACCGATACCCTAAAGAAATAATTCCTTATTCAAATTCCTACCCCTATCCCACCCTCCGGAGGTATATTTCTGTTTCTTTATTTTTATTATTATTATTATTATTATTATTATTATTATTCTTGATTCTGTTAATTTCAACAAGGTAGATGAAAGAAGTGACTTCGTCGTTGTGTGTTTCTTGGTTCTTCAATAAAAAAAAATAAAATAAAATAAAAAATGGGAGTCTTCGTTGGAAAACTGTGAGGAAAAACCTCTAACGAGGCGTTACATTTTTTAAACAAAACAAAAAAAATAAAATAAGGGTGCATCTAGTCAAATTAACGAATAATTGCAGATGAAACAAATTCCAATGGGTTTTCGTTCTTTAAACAATTTAACTGGACACTGAAATTTGTTACAAAGATTTATTTGTAATTTTTTTTTTTTAAATTTAAAAATAATACATATTCTAATTAATAATAATTTGCGAATAAAAAATAACTCTGGGATTTTTTTTTATTAATTTTTTCTTTGTTCCTTTTACGATTCACAATGAAACACAAATTCCAATGAGTTTTCTTTCTTTAAACAATTTAACTGGACACTGAAATTTATGACAATAATTTATTTTTAATCTTTTTTTATAATTTTAAAATGATATATATTTTTTTTTATTCCAATTATTAATAATTTATAAATCAAAAAATAACTCTAGGATTTATTTTTTATTTTCTTTTGTTCTCTTACGATTCACGATCTTACGAAACACAATTGAAAGACAAAATAATTATTGTTTTTTCTTACTTCTATTTTTTTATTTATTCATTTTATTTTTTATTTTTTTACATTCTCAAAAAAAATGAATGAACATTTATTATCACCCTGAATAAAAACAATTAAATGAAATACATTTGGAAAAAAAGTTAAATTGGCATTTAAACTCTCTTAAAACTTGTTTCAATAAAACAAAATCAAAATAATTACAAATGAGTACCCCAATCTAAAAATAATTTATTAAATATCCAGATAATATTTTAATCTAATATTTTATTATCTATATATATATATATATATCATTTTATTTAGGTTGTTTATGTTTTTTAAGATTGCGAAACGAACCCCCTTAAAACTTGTCTCAACCAAACAAAATAATTCCAAATGAGTACCCCAATCCAAAAATAATTCATTAACTATCCAGATAATATTTTAATCTAATATTTTTTTATCTATATATATATATATATATCATTTTCTTTAGTTTGTCTATGTTTTTTAAGATTGCGAAACGAATCAAACGAGGAATGATGATATTCGTTCGTGCAAGCTCGTCAAATGAAAAACAAACAAACGTAACTAACTTTGTGTATGTATATGTATATGTGTGTATAGGCATAGGTCCTATCTCTCTTTTTCTTTCTATCCACGAATGGGAATAGTAAGCCCCATGATCACGTATCGTATGAAAACTGGGAAACGATTATTCCGAATCTGGTGTTCAACGAACGATGAAATACGCGTCCGCGTGTAGATATTCGATGTCGATATGAACGAAACTGAGGGGCGAGGGGGTTGAAGGGGGCAGAAAGGGGAACGTGAGGATAGGTATGAGTTTTTTGGACACACAGAAAAAAAAAGGGTAAGGGAAGAGACGTGGAAAATATGTAAGCGAGTTGTAGTTTGGGGGTTGTACGTCGAACAATGGGAAAACTTGTGTTTCTTTTTAAGTTTTTAAGGGTTTTTTGACTGTCAAATTCTTTTGGTTTCTGTCAATTATACCAATAATTTAAAAACACCTGATTAATATATTATTTTTCTTTTATTTTAATTGTGTGTGTGTGTTGTTTTTTATTTACTTTCTTTTCTTTTCGTTAGCGAATCGTGTTCGTAAAACGCGTTGAAAAAAGTGGTGGTAAAGAAAAAGAGGGATGAAAAAAAACAAAATACAAATAAAAACAAAAAGGAAGAAAAAACAGGACGAGCAAACGCGTGAGTGAGGTGTCCAGGCGTTTTATTACGTCATCGTCGGACACGCACATCACTCCTGTCGACTGATGAAAGGTTTTTTTTTTATTTATTTTATTTTTTATTACCGAAACCCCTTTTTCGTTTAGGTCGTGCAATAAATTTTTTATTTTGTCTTTTTCCTTTTCTTTTTTTTTTGTTACAGTTAGACCAAAACTAGATTTTCACCGATTATTTGAATGGATTTTTTTTTTATTTTTTTTTATTTAAGTTTGACACGCGACGTTAGTTAGATCGATGTTTTCAAAGTAGCAACAAAACTATGAGAATGACCTTGTAATTTTTTTTTGTTCCTCCTAACTCCCCTCCACCCTCTTACACATTTTTTATTATTTTCTTTTTTTTTATTTATTGTTTGATATAAATCAAGATACGATTTAACAGCAAGTTGTAAGGGGTGAGTATTAAGGGGTAAGAGGTAAAGGGTTAACCAGCTGTAGGTGAGTGTAAAACATATAAAACGTAATCGCGATCACTCACATGCACACGTATGTTACACACACTCTCTCTTACACTCACGTAAACACACACACGCGAATGTAACACTCTCACGGAACAACTGATTTCTAAACAAACGGGTCCTTTATTTTATTTATTTTTTATTTTTTTTTTTTGTAAAACTTCGTCCTTTCTTCCTTCCGTCGATTCGTAAACCCAATTGTCACGCACTAAAAAATCACGAGGATATATTTCCAATCATTTTTCTAATCTAACCATGATGAATAATGTTATTCATTCATTAATTAAGCAAAGTTCACTTTTGAAGAAGAATTATGGTGTATGAGGTAAAAGGAAAATAAATTTGAAATATACACACACACAAAAATAAATAAATCGTAAACAATTTGATTAAATTAATTAAAAAAGAAACATTATAAATTAATTGCAAATAAAAAAAGGAAAGGGAGTTCACTTTTGAAGAAGAATTATGGTGTATGAGGTAAAAAATAAATAGATTTGAAATATACATGCACAAAAATAAATCTTAATTCGATTAAATTAATAAAAGCAAAACATTAAGTTAATTACAAATACAAAAAAAGATACTTAAGATACTTAACCCATTCGAGATCCACTTTTACACACGGTTTGTTCGATCATACTTTGCTATTATTAATTATTTTGAGTAAAGTATTCATTTTATTTTTGTAATAATATTTTTTAATATAAATATTATCTTTAAACTATAGAAAAAAAAACAAAATTTGATATTATAAATAAACAAAATAAAATAAAATTGGTCAATATAACAAAATAAAAAAAAATACTTCCTAAGTTCTTAGCACGCGTTCGTGTGTATTGAAAGAAGTTGTGGTCTCGAATGAATTAAATTTACAAAACAAACAAAAATTAGGAAGAACAAAGAATGAAACATTAAACAAACTCACCTGTTCGCACGTTACCAAATCCAGTCTTACGAGATGTTGGTAAGAAGAGGGTAGTACACGTTGTTTCTTCTTGCAATCGTAGATCCTTCGAGTTGACGATTAAGATCTATGGATCTCTAGAGGCTCGGTAGAAAGGAAACCAGAAAGGGGTTGCGATCAAAAATACGAAAGATAAATAAATATAAATATATATATATATATGTTTTATCTATATATATAAATATACATAAGATATATTAATTGAACAAACAAAACGAAACGAAAACTAGAACAACCAACTATAACAACGAACGATAATAATGATAATAATGATAATAATGATAACGTTAACTGGAACAAGAGATAAAGATAGAGATAGAAATAGAAATAGAGAAAGAGAGAGATCTATATATGTATATAATAAAGAGAAAGAGAAAGAGAAAGATATATATATATAGATATATAGATATATATGTATATAGAAAGAGAGTAAAGGGCCGGTGGTGTACTGCCGCGTGCTGCTCGTGCCGGCAAATGAGATAATAATCGGAGGACTCAGTCACTCGTCGTCGTCGTCGGCCAGCAGCACCGTGGCAGGCAGGGTGGTTGTTCGACGGCGACTCTGCCAACCAGTGGGGGTTGTATTCCACCCCTGACGAGAGAGTCCGTGGTGGCGGGAGCGCGAACGAGGTTGCTGCTGCTGCCTGCCTGCCAGAATACGAGGAACGTGTTCATACACATCTACATCTATATACATATATATGTATCCTTGCATGTATATGTATATGTGGGTGAGAGAAAGAGAGAAAACAAGAAAGATAGAAAGAGATCTAAATAGTGGTAGGAGGAGAATCACGGGGGATGATCGGCAGAGTAGTAGGAGGAGAAACCCGGAGGCAGAGGGTGGTGGTTTTTGAGATGATCCGGCCAATCTGCGCATCATTTCCCCATTGCATCTCTTCCCTCCAACCCCCAACCCCGTGGCAAACCGGCGCGGAATCCGCACCACCGCAAGCACACCCCGTGTGCGTGGTGGAAGAGCCCCTGTTGAATGCCACATTTTCGAGCCGAGGACACAAGAGAAAAGGTACCAGGAGCAACAAGAAATGAGGAATAGAGAGAAAAGAGTACGAATGAGTGAGTGAGAAAAAAATCAAATAGAAAGAGAAAGAGAGAGAGAGAGAGAGAAGAGGCGGTACTAAAAAGGGGGAGTAAAAGAGGGAAAAAGAGTGACAGAGAGAGGAAGAAAGGGTAGGGGGTTATGCTGGGTACTGGCACTGCTGTTACTCTGCCTCTGTTCCCTGTCTCTCTACGAGGGAGTGAAAAAAAAAGTGGAAAACAGATATAGCCAAAAGAATTTCTCCTTTTCCTCCTTTCACTCACCCCCTCCCCCTTATCCTCTTCATCCTCCTCCTACTACTCTCTTTCTATTCCTTTTCCTACTACCTACTCTTCTTCCTCTTCCATTCTTCCCAAACCAACCACCAGCACAACCACCACCATCAGCATCACCATCACCCCCCTTTCTTCTTCACCACCCTTCCAACAGATTCTCTCCCTGGTTCGTATTCCGTTTCGTTTTACAGATGCGTCGGTGCGATTGAGTCGGTGTGTTTACACTTTGAAAAGAGGAATCGTCGCTTGGCGAATTCCCTTCAAAAATATCGATTTTTAATGCCCGGATGAAAGGAGACGAAGATTTCTTTTTTTTTTTCTACCCCGTATCTAATGACTCGAGCGTTATACTAACCGCTGCTGCTCTTTTATTATTTATTCTTCTTAATTTTACCAATTATCCAACTAGTTAACGTGTATTATATCGAATAAGGGATTTGTTTTTATTTTTTTTTTATTTTTTTTTTTTAACTTCACCGTCCAACCCCCTAAGGATTCACAGATTTGGGAAATACGAGATTATTACTAGATTATTACTATTTACTAGATTATCCAACTAGTTAACATGCATTATATCGAATAAGGTATCTGTTTTTCTTTTTATTTTTTACCTTCACCCCCAACCCCCTAAAGATTCACGGATTTTTAAATACGAGATTATTACCGTCTATTATTATTGAAAAATGAATATTTTTCTTATATAAAATCACATACACAAGTTAACAGAACCAAAAGAAAGAAGTTTGAGGGTGGTAAAGGGCGGTTTATTTGCTTTAGTCAAGTTTTTTTAGGACACTGTTTAACAGCGGCAGGATAAGGCAAATTTGTCGTTTGGATGTTTAAAGGAGTGAAGTAAGAAAAAAACCCCCGAAAAATACATTTGCTAGGAGGAGCAACAGGAGGTGGACCCTACGAAACGATTTGTCGTTCACATCGTAGGGTTTAAAGAGAGAAAAGTGACAGAAAGACTAGGGTGGGGATACGTAATTTAGGGAGAAATTTGTCGACGATGTACGATATTCATTATTTACATACTCGGACTCTTATACTCTTACTAATACTACTATCATTTTATGGTGTTCTTTGGTAAAAGCTTGACGGACACGTGGGAAACTTTCCTCATCCTCATCCTCAGCTTACGCGTCCTCGTGGAACGTTGTTAATTGGTCAGCTACAAAGGGTAAACCGTGAAAACATACTCGTATACCTCATCACACCCCTTTCCCTTCCCTTTACCTTACTTTTCCTACCTGACAGTGCTATCGTATTTATTTTAATGTTTAAGAAGAGGATTTATACTTCTTTTCAATTTTTCAATTTTTTATTGGTATCCTTAACCCATTGTTAAGGGTTAAACCCATGGCCTTTTTTTTGGGACGCATTTTCAAATTTGGTTTTTTTTTCATAACCTCAATTTCAGAATAAAATATATTAAAAACTCTCACTATTTTATTTTAAAAAAATAATCAATGATATAAAATATATTTTTATGTTTAAATAAAATAAAAAACAACAATTGTTGCAAAAATAGTTCTATTTGGTTAGTATTAATATCATTATACAGTTAATTTGGTAATTACAGTAATAGGTTAAGATGTTAATTAATAATTAATTGTCATTGTTTTTACATCTTCTATATTACTTTTTTTTATTACAATAAAAGTATCATCTAATATTAAACAATATTAAGAAATATTAGGTCTACCAAAAAATTCCGTCCATTTTTAAAATAAAACAAAAGTATTACAATAAATTTTAATATCTTAAATAAACTTTATTGAATAATATAATTATCATCTTTATTTATAACTTAATAAAAATTAGTATAATTGCTTTTTGAAAAAATGTCTTACACCCTAGTGACGAAAAATTGAACCAATGGTTCATCAGAACGGACATAACCTATATGTTCTTTTTTTTATATTATTTTTTTATGGTAATACGAATAAGTATACCAAGTATGCAAATAAAATTGATGGGAAATACGTGGTCTCTGACTTATCAATTATTATCTGATTATTTTTGATTGTTGTTGCATACGAAAGATAGAGACAGACTGATGATTTTTCACACGGGTGCTGGGATGGGGAGTGTGGGGGAGGGATGGTTTAACATTTTTCATTTTTCCGCAACAATCACGAGCATAGTTATGAATAATGTATTAACTAACGCGTCAGAGGTACAAAGCATATCGTGTTTATTTACAATCGATATTCAGAGCCATTCCCATGAAACACAATACTCGAGCGATTTCATTGCTCTCTCTCTTTCTCTTTCTCTCTATCACTCTCTTTAAAACATGTCTAATAGAAAAAAATAAAAAAAAGTACAAAAGCACCCTATTAATACTTCTTAATAAATCTCAAGTATCACCTAACTTTAATAAGTACTTTCAATACTTTCAAAAAGCAATTGAAAATAAGCTCAATAATAAAGTGTAATTATTAGGGTAATAATTATAAAACTAGCATAATAATAATAATAATAATAATGGTAACTCGTAAAGGTAACGCAACGTAATTCAGGAAGAAGATTCCAAGAAAAGGGAAAAGAAATTGTATGTGTGTCTTATCTGTGATGACATTGATGGTCATGTTTAAGTAATAGTAAAATAGTAGTGGTGGTAGTAGTGGTGGTAGAAGTTCGGAGGGGTACTTCATCCCGCGGGCAATCACCCTAAATTTAAATCGACGATTTCAGGGTACCGAGATTTCCATTTCTATCTGTTTCTTTCTCTCTTTACTGTTTCTATCCATTCATTCTACTCTCTCTCTTTCTCTCTCTATCTCTCTCAAAAGACAACGAGGACAACGAGGATGACGAAAGAGAGGTAGAAAACAATTTACCCGAAATTCGCCTAGTCGTCGTCGTCGTAGCGTTTGGCTACGACTGGTGGGGTGGAGAAGGAGGAAAGGGGGGTGGTATACACACTTCTATTTGTCCCCACGGCAATCTGTCGACTTCGAACGCGCAAGCCCTTATACCTTCTCTCTCCTAGCTTTCCTTGGCATCCTTTCTCCAGTACCCACTCCAACAGGGCTCTTCAACAACGCCTTTCCATCGACTACTCTCGAACCCACCCCTACGAACTCGAACCCCCCCTTCATACTGGGCTACCCCACGACTGAACGACGTTTCTTCTTTCTACCCTCTTACTCCTGTTGTACTCTGTACGAAGCGCGAAACCGCGAAGCCTCACGGGAATTTTAAACACCGTTCATTCCTCCCTACTCTTCTTCTTTTTCAACCCCCTCAACCTTCAAGATTGTCTAACCCGTTTCTTCTTCCTGTCTTCTTTTTTTTTTTGTGTTTTTTTTTTTTGTTAGGTTTTCAGGATCTCAAGTGAAATATTTTTCCAGCAACTGCTAAGAAGACATCGAGTTTAGGGAATTTTGATGGTTTATTTTTAAATTGAAATATTGTTTTATCAAATTTAGTTGAAAACGTTCTCAACGAAAGAGCAGTAGCAGTAACAGCAGTAGATTTGACTGTGTCTCCTTTATTCCCCCCTTTACTTTCTCTCATCCAACCGCGAACGAAGGGTCCTCTCTGATCGGGTACTTAAGTACTTGTAATCTTATAAATGAAAGTGAGAGAGTGAGAGAGATTGAAGGAAACCATGCGGAATTAATTCGTTCGTTCGAAATCGAGAGAAGAAGCTCGATTATGCAAAAACGAAACCTGGGGGTATTGATAATATCTATTAGGTGAGAGTAGGATTTCGATGAAGACTAGTCGATGTTACTTTGAGGACTTAACGTAGTCCCCCTCTCTCTCTCTCTTTCTCTCTCTCTTTCTCTCTCTCTTTCTCTCTCTTTCTATTCCTTTATACCCTTTT